GTCTGGTTCAGACTCGATTATTTACAGACCACTACCATATACCGGTAGCTGGAATATTGCCGAGTGTGACGTGATATAAGTGGTATATATTATACTCACCTACAACAGAAGGTAAAGAGTGCTGCACATGCTCTTCTCCAGCCTGGGTCCAGATGATGTTATCAGCCCAAGGTGCAAGGCTGAGACATTGTCTTGGTGTAACTAGGGAATTCATAACTGGTAAACTACCGTAGATAAGAGGAGGTCCTAACTTGACCCTTAAAATCAGTATCATGATGGTATATCATGAACATTTGAGTGCTCAAAGACTTCAACCAAACTTGCCAGTCCTTCAACTTATCATCATTTAACCATATTATACCAGGTAAATTGCTTCACTTCCTATAAAACAACAAACATCAGTTTGAATAATAAATGTTTATTACATATTGACAAGATATAGACAAACAGTATATATTGCTGATGTTTGCAACAGCGAATAAAACAGTGCAATGAGGTCCCCCTGTTTGTTGGTCCACCGATTGGAGACACTCCAGAAGACATCCAGACAAATGATCCCGATGTATTCAGGGTTACATCCAGACAACTGTTCTCCCACTGTAAAGTGTTTGTTTGTATTATCACAGATAATATGACTTTTGTCTGATTTTCTGAGGAAAGGGGATGCAATGTATTTTTTTTTTAAATGTCAACAAATTTCCTCATGCAAATTTAACTAAAATTTTGGTACAAAAATACAAGTGAGAATTTAAAACAACAAGGTTATAGTTTAGTGACAACTACTGGGACAACTTGTGGACAACTACTGGGGAGCATGTAGTGGAGGTGGATACATGATGTCCAGGTGTATGGTTGAAACATTGTCACCTAGGTAACACGGAGGAGACAAGTGTTTACCATATTTCTTCCAAAAGATGGGCGCCCATCTCTGGGCCTCTCACAGATAAAACCAAAGACGTAAGAACAGAAGCTGGGTCTCAGATAAAATTCTTCAAACTGCAGTATAAAATGTGGAGGCTAATCTGTTTAAGCAGTCATACAATTTCTGTCACTTACCAACAAATTGTGGATAGGGCACCTGGTCTTTAATAAAGCTTGCTAAAATAAATACTTTGTTTCTCATGAGCTGACTCCTATTATATTTATTAAAAGATTAAAGTTGTTATTCTGACTGTAAGAAAACAACATTGGTCAACAATTTCTTTGTGCCAGATACCAATGTTCTGCACCTTCAGATGAAGAGGCTGTTTAATACAATAAATGTTTCTTAAAAAATATAATCTTTTCTTCCTAGCATATTAACATCATAAAGAGGTCATAAGAAGCAGGAATATGTTCTTTTAAAGTGGACTGAAGTTGAGGTTATGGTAATGTTCAAAAGTATAAAGATAGATAAGAGAATATTCATAAAAAATACAATTATATATGACCCGGAAAAACACTATGAAATCCAAATAAGACTTGACTGTATCAGTACATGTTTGCCCACACTGTAGCTTCAGGGAGAGGTTCTATTCTGTATAACGAATTTTGTAACAGATCCCTGTGATACGTCAGAAATAGTTTTGTTAGGAGGTCTGGATAGTCCAATCTACAGCAAGTCTACCCACAGAATATACACTTACATCTGAACATAGACTTAGGTCTTAGAACTTAATCAGACATAATCAGTATTTTGATATTGCTCAATCACTCACAAGTGCAACACACAACACAAGCCTTTCCAGTCTTCAGTGACTGGAAGATTGTCAGCAATTCTTGTTACAAAAGACAAAAAGTATCCCCTAACCAATCTGGAAAATGTTCACTTTAAAATTATTGTAAAATAAATCAGATTTCATCAATAAACTCTTGATTTCCAGCAGATACTGATGTTCAAATTAAAAACATCATGATTTATAATTCAGTTCAAATATGCAATATGATTTGAATGAAATGAGAAGTACTTAGTCACAGTAATTTTCAAGCATCAGTTAAAACCAAGGATGATCTTAACCAGGCCTACCAATGAAAACCGCCAGAGAGCATTGAAAGTATTGAATATATGCACAAACTGCAAACTTTAAGACACAATCCCAATAAAGAGTGCATTGATATGTTTAACATCTGTCCATTTGTAATATAAGTGAGTGAGTATTGTTTTACACTGTTTTTAGGAATATTCCAGCAATATCACAGCAGGGGACACTGGAAATGGGCTTTCACACATTGTACCCATATGGGGGAATCAAACCTGGGTCTTCACCTTGAAGAGCAAATGCTGTAATCCAGAGCACCACACCCCCATGTGCAATGAAACCAAGCATGATAAATCATGCATACTTGCAGTCCCTATTGAGTGAGTGACTGAGTTTGGTTTTACGCCGCTTTTAGCAATATTCCAGCAATATCACAGCAGGGGACACCAGAAATGGGCTTCACACATTGTACCAATGTGAGGAATGGAACATGGGTCTTCGGTGTGACGAGTGAATGCGTTAACCACTAGGCTACCCCATCGCCCGCAGTCCCTACTGAAAATGTGGCAGGTTTTAATCATTATACAGTGCACACTTTATGGGGTTTGTGTCAGGAAAGACGTCCCTTACAACCCACTGAGTATATACATATACGGCAAACATTCACTGGGTATAGTAGTCTGGCTAATTTTAATTGGGTAATGGGGAATCATTAATCTTCCATTATTTGGATCACAGATAACAAATTCATTCTCTTCATTTATGATTCCACACAAGAGGTTTACAAATGTATTTGTTAATCATTTTTGACACAAATCTACTTTCCTGCGGCCAGTAAGTTACTGCTGTTCTTTTTCCCACCCTGTTTACAGGAATTTTACATTTCAACTCTACAGAGCAGAAAAGGGACATGTGTTTCATTATTAAATAATCTCTTTGAAATCAGATCTTATATTTGGCTACCTCTCTTTGTGAAGATCTGACAACCCCACCATAAAAGGTGTAAGCAATTTAAATGAAGGATACCTTTGTTTTTCATTTGGTCATCTGTCAGCTTCCCAAAACTAGTCATTTCTTTTACATCTGAATTTGGAAATTTGGTACTCCCTTTTGGATGATAGTGCTATGGCTCTCAAGAAATGACAGGGTGTATTCAGTGTTTGCCCTTAATTCTGGAAAGCTGGAGACCCTAAGGACCCAGAACTATAAAAACTGGTGGGTCCTGATCAGAATGTGTAGGCCGTATATTTTAGCTACAATATAAGTAATTTCCATCAAACAAGGCCACAAGGAGCAGCATAAAAAAAAGCTGTAGGTCCGAGTGGTTTTCAGTCGGCTTTGGGCCAAGGGACTGAAGTTAATTTCGGATGCTGTGTGTATTAAATATCCACAGCAATACAGCCTTTATTACATACATTCAAATCTGGCCATCTTAAAATCACTTTTGATACAGAAAAGCTGGGGCGAATGCTTCACTTGCATCAAGAATTTAGAAGCCTCAGCATTGTTTTGCTGACTTGAATTATTATCTAAACAGATAATGATAACAATTACTTTAATGTGAAAAGATAATTTCTTGTTCCAATCCATGGAAAGGTGTGTCAGTCAGAAAATATTTATATTTTAGCTACTTTTAGTTTACACTGTATAACTCTAGCCTTTATTTAGTCCATGAAACCCATCAACCATCATATTAAGAAATGCTACATTAGGCTGTGGTCAGGTGAAAACACCAAACATTTGTTTTTATCACAGTAATCGATTTGGCAAGATACAAATTAGACTTTGTCTATCACACAATTTTAAAGCTATTAATATCATAAGGGAAAAGAATTATGAAGTCTTTGATCTGAGTTAAATTTAGCAGAAATGACTGAAAGCTGAAATAGCAAAACATAAATAATCAAATTACACAGAAAGAAGTCAACACATAAAGGTGAGTAGCTTATGGAAGATGTAATCTTAAATCTGCCAACATATCTTTACCCATCTTCTACAACCCAGTGTACTATACCTTCATCTCCATTCTATAAAGTAAATTAATCTTGACCCATTGGCTACTACAACACTGTTTTGAGTATTATTCAAATGTAACAATGCTAAAAATAGATGTTACCTCCAATTACTATCACAAGCAGGTACATTCATGTTCTATGTTACAGACAGACATGATATAACAAACAAGCTATGGCAGCCAATGTGTCTATGGTATTTAACACAACTGAATGGAGACAAAACACCCTTGATTATAGAGGATGATCTTAGCTGAACGGACAGAACTGTAGAAACAGTTAACTACAAATCTTTAATCATATTTGAAATTTAAGCAAAGATCAGTCACACTTCTTTTCATTACCAGTCAAGTCTGCAAACATGACTAGTATTTATGAAATGAAGTTTACCCACAAACAGCTTACATGAAACTTAAAAACTACATTTTCAAAAATAAACAAGGACATAATTAATTTCAATAGTAAAAAAACATTTTGACAAATTGGCTTAAGATGAGTAAATAGCATGAAATAAATCAAAACAAGAAAGCTGTATCTAAAACATCTCAACTTTGAACTTACATACAATGGGTTAGACATCACTTCCAGGAAACCCACTCTGTTGGATAGTATTCACGTCTGACCTAATACTGTTCATTGTTAATGGAGTTTGATAAGGTAAAAACCTTCAAGTAAAATACACCAATAAGTGAGTGAGTTTGGGTTTACGCCGTGATTAGCAATATTCCAGCAATATCACGGCGGGGGACACCAGAAATGGGCTTCACACACTGTACCCATGTGGGGAATCGAACCTGGGTCTTCAGCATGACGAGCGAATGCTTTAACCACTAGGCTACCCCCCTGGCCACTCCAATAATAATAGGGGTTAAACTTATATGTTTTTAAAATGGGTTTGTTATTACATGACTGACCTCATCAACACTTGTGATTATCCTTTCATATCTTAAATATTGCAAATTTGTAAAACAGATATGAAATCAAGCACATCTTTTTCCACTGAATAATTGATGTAAGCACATACATGACCATACATTTAATTTTTATTGGTTTTCAAATGCTTGAAACAGTGCAAAATGTTTAAAATCAGACAAAGAAATTGAACAGATGAGAAGCTACATTGTTGCTCTGAATAAACCTTGATAACAATCATGAAGTCAGGAAATCCAAGATGGGTTACAGAAGTCTGTATGTACATTGGACTCATAGCACTGAACATGCATAGACACATCACAGACAAATCTCAGGTGAAATATACATGGAGTTATGGCAACTTGGTGAAGCAAAACTTTCAGTCTATGTGCATAATTACAACAGTTTCACTGGACTTTTGATTCGTCTGTTATGTACATGACATAGATTTCAGTTTGCGATTTAGGACACTTGATAAAGCCTATCTCAAGTAAAATAGATATGAGTGTAAACAGCTGAGCTGATGAAGATGTAAATGTGAAACGTATTTGGCATAGACAGAGTCAATGATGAGTATAATGGATGCCGCTGTTAATACCATATTGAAATACTGCTGTTTGAGTAGGGCAGGATGGAGGTAGGAAGAGAGGGGTGTAATATGGCAGAAGTGGAGTAAGTTGATATTTACTCTACTTTAGCAATATTCCAATATTGGTAATAGTAATATTCATGACAGGGCAGAAGAAATGGTCTTCCCACATATTACCTGAATGGAAAGACAGTTTTCGGCTATAGAGGCTCAAATATTGTGCAGTTTGAGCTACTTCATCTCTGCAAGCTGATTATGAAAGTGAATGCCTGAATAACAGTGAATATGTGTGTGTTTCATATGTCGTGATTTTGCAAATGTCAATATGATATATCATGGTAAATAACAATTACTGTGCATATATATGGTAAATATGTATTGAAATCATAGTGTAAAAATAATAGAATTTTTTCTCTTAATATCTGTCAAACCTCATTCGATGAAGAAACTGATCTGATACCAAAAGAAAAATCATATCTTTCACATTGATGAGTGGGTGTATGGTCACATGAGACTATTGCATTTTGTAGGCTTTCCATCACTTTTTACGACTAGCTCAAGCATTGAACATTCTCTACAAGTAACAACAGATATGTGGAATGTTTAGATTTACACACAACAAATGGAATAAAATCAATATTTAATATACATATCGGTGGGCACCAAATGCTATATATATCACATTTCTGTACATTAAAATAATTTTTTATAAATCATTTTGGGTAGGCAACAGTATATATGGCAACATTTTATCACAACTTTGTAATCTCATCATAGTCATTCACCAATACCCCACGTACAAATCTCTTTGAAGGTGTTGGTGGTGACATGGTTTCTGAAGAGTTGTCTTTCCTTGCATCATCTAAAGACTCCTGGTCATTATCCTTGATATCAGAAACCTGTGGTATATCAAACTGATCTCTTGCCTTTGGCTGGAATTCAAGGGTGGCATCTTCCAGTAGATTGTTTGGCATGTCAATGCATTTATCCAAACTGTCTGATTCAGCTTCAATGTTTTCTCCCTCGCTAGATTCAGCTTTGAGGTCATTTCCCTGGCCAGATTCATCTTCAAAGTTATCTCCCAGGCCAGATTCATCTTCAAAGTTATCTCCCTTGCTGGATTCATCTTCAAAGTTATCCCCCTTGCTGGATTCAGCTTCAAAGTTATCCCCCTTGCTGGATTCAGCTTCAAAGTTATCTCCCTTGCTAGATTCAGCCTCAAAGTTATCTCCCTTGCTGGGTTCAGCTTCAAAGTTATCTCCCTGGCTAGATTCAAATTCAGTGTTATCTCCCTTGTCCGATTCACCTTTAGAGTGACCTCCCAAGTCAGGTATGTCTTTAGAGTTACCTTCAAGAGGCATTAAATTGTCCACAGTTAGTTCAGCACTGTTTTCGGAATCTTTGTGGTCCCTTGGAAACACCTGTGTGTCTGTAATGTCAGAGTTACTTTCCTTAAATGACTCTTCAGCCTGAAAACTTTCTTCTGATTTGTCCCCTTTCGGGACTTCTCTCTCCTGATTTTCTGCATTGGTAATTAATGAGCTTACACTTTTATTGGATAGGGAATCCACTTTATTCTTGCGGATTCCTTGCAATGACACTATATCTGAGCAGCTTGCACTGGAGTCGAGGAATGCATCGTTGTCATCAGAAAAGCTGTCATTTAATGCAATATCATTGAGAGAAATTTCACTGGAGTCATCAACACTGTTTGGGTAGGCCCTGGGAAACAGGAAGTGTTGTTGTGTGAGCTTGTTGGGGAGGTTTTGAAGCATCTGAGCAGGCGAGACAACCATGCTGAAGCGATCCCAGTCACTAGAGGCAGAGCTTCGGAGGCTGCTCCGGACAGATGAAAATCGAGAAAATCCACCATTACCTGATAAAGAAAAAAACATAACACTCAATTTTTATGCTGTTTACCACACTAAAAACTAGTCCCATGTTTCCTTCCCTAATAACTATCCTGTGTTACACTGACTCTGAAATATTGATAACTCTGGGCTGTCCCCTAATAAAAACATTTAACACTGAATCAGCAGCATGGCAGCAACAGGAGTGCCCAAATTCTGCATCTTAAATGTCGACAATCACAGCCAACCACTTAACAAATGTACCTGACAGCATTGAAATTTAAATAATTCCCCCATAAATATTGATGGCTAACATCAACACATAATTATTTAAACATAAGGAGAAAAGTAAGTTTGTGAGGTGAAGTGGGCATAACACCTGATGCCTGACAGACCTGACTTGGTTAGGTGAGCTAAAACAAGGGAACTTTGGTGACATTAGAAGTCATTAGAAGTCATTGCTCAGAGGCAATTGTTCAAACTAGTCACCCTAGTTACTTACCTTCTGAGCAGTGGGGTAGGCTAGTGGTTAAAGCATTCACTCGTCACACCGAAGACCCAGGTTTGATTCCCCACATGGGTATAATGAGTGAAGCCCATTTCTGGTGTCCCCTGCCATGATTTTGCTGGAATATTGCTAAAAGCGGCGTAAAACTAAACTCACTCACACATTCACTCACCTTCTAGTATCCTGTGCTCCGTTTTTTCCAGGCAACGTAACTCAGCCAGTTTGGCCTTCAATACTTGCTGCAAAACACAACAAAAACAATCAATGTTTATTTCAAGAACCATATAAAGCAGCGTATATTTTATTGATGATTCCAAGGGGGTCACCCATTTTGTTCTGGGGAGGCTTCAAATTTGTACACATGTACTTGGGGGGTCTACACCTTTGTGCATAAAAATGCTTTAAAATTATGGGAAGGGAGGAGAGGTCACTGATTTTGTACATGGCATGTGGTGGGGGGGGAGGAGGGACACTTACTTTTTACATAAAATAGCAGGGATGGGGTTGGGGTGTGTGCATGTGTGTTCGTGTGTGTGTGTGTGTGTGCGTGTGTGTGTGTGCGTGTGTGTGTGTGTGTGTGTCATTCACATTGTACTTGCTTCTCCATAAATATCATCACCACTCTGGACATAAATTATGATCAGTCCCCTACAATAGTTTATAAGTATATCAAAATTAACTTGAACTGTTTAGTGAGAAATACGTTATGACTCTATGCATAATAAATATATGTCCTTGTGTTTACAATGTGACAATTAAGAATCCTTCTTTGAGAGGCATTTAGAAGTTGGAGCAGTAAGGAAGGATAACAATATATGGATGACCAACTTCTTTATTGCTGTGAGAGCGACGTTTCGGTGTAGGTTCTAACACCGTTATCAAGCGAGTGATGAATCCAAAACAAGAACTGCATACTGGTCTCTCACCTTGAGTCTGATGAATCTCTCGTAAAGCTCTACCTTGCGACAGCAGTCTTCAAACAGCACAACGAGCCTGCGAAATCATCAATGCTTCTTATACTCAACTGTTAATTATGGCAACACCAAGCAGGAACAATCAACTGAGAATATTCCATTTCCATAACGGATGTCACAATTATAGAATACTATAAATATTTGTAATATTTTATGTCAAAGTCATGATACTTTCACCTTACAACTGATGTATACAGCTATATTCCTTTGAAACATTCCACTTGGAAGTGAAGCACATTCATCTTCAGCAAAGTCAGCTTGTTTAATTATATGGATAGATTCTTCATGTACTTCTTCATGAGATTTTACAGTCCGTTTGAGACAAAATGATACAAATGAATTGCAATCTAACACAAAGACAAATAGACATAAAAGAATCAAACCAAAGCGAACGGCAATAAAAACAACAGACCAACTCTAGAAAAAGAATTGCATAATTTTTGTCACAAATATAAAAAAGTTGTCTAAGAAACTGTCATCATTTATTTGTGCGTTTTCCCAGTTTGTTACAAGGGCGCAGTGACAACTAAAGGAACAGCGAAAAGTGAGATGCTCGTGCATTAGTGACGTCAGAGACATGTGGCTACTGCTGATTGACAAAGTGAGAGAAAATGAAATTTTCTCATGACGTAAAGTCTGTAATTTACAAAGTCTATGATTTCTTCAAGGATGAAAATGACAGGGGTTGACTGACTGACTGACTGAGTTTGGTTTTACGCCGTGATTAGCAATATTCCAGCAACATCACGGCGGGGACACCAGGAATGGGCTTCACACATTGTGCGAATGTGGGGATTCGAACCCGGGTCTTCGGCGTGAAGAGCCAACGCTTTAACCATTAGGCTACCCCACCGCCCCGACAGGTGGTGACCCATGTATGCAATTACTAAGTAGGCCTACATACAGCGCACTGCCTGTTGGTGTACGTGTCATCTCGCCAGCTCAAAAATTTGTTGAGAACCCGTTAACCACGTGCATCTCGCTTTTCACGCTGTTCCTTTAGTTGTCAATGCGCCCTTGTAACAAACTGGGAAAACGCACACATAAAAAATGACAGTTTCTTAAACAACTTTTTTATTTTTGTTGCACTAATTATGCATTTTTTTTTTTGAGTTGGTCGGTTGTTTTTATTGCAGTCCGCATTGGTTTGATTCTTTTATTTCAATTTGTTTCTGTGTTAGATTGCAATTAATCAGTATCATTTTGTCTCAAACGGACTGTACAGACTGAAAGGATGTTGTGTGGGCTTGCAAAGTTATCTCCCCTCCCTTGCTCCAAATACTTTGTTCACATGCACATTCAGTAGTATTTTTCCTTTCTTCAATTCAAAGGGGTTGAATATTTTTTTCAGGAATACATTTTCAGTGAGCAAGTGCAATGATTTCAGGGTATGGTGGATGATGGTGTATTTAAGGTCAAACATAAGAATTCTTAAGAAGTGGTTACGGTCTCGACATGTCAGAAGATTCCAGTTACCCTGGCCAGGTGATTTTGACCGTTATGGGAACCAAACTGTGTGACCTCCATGGTCATTACCTGAGAGTGTCTTTGGCTTCCTTGATCTTCCTGACTAGTGTCTTGTGAGGTTCCCCCTCCACACTTTCACCATTCACAGACAGAATCACGTCACCTGTAGGGCAAACATACCATTGATACTTCAACACTGGATTGTCAACCAACATGTAAAAACTGAACTGTTTTGTTGAGCTGAACGTTGGAGTGAGTGAGTGAGTTATGACGCTGCATGTCAGTTTAATGTTGGAGAGCTGATGTTGGAAAGCTGATGTTGGAGAGGTTCTCAAACCTACTCAGGATGAATCTGGGATTTCAACCCTCAGTTGTAGTACTCTTACAACTAGAAGGTATGGAGAGGTGAGACAACTCAAATGTCTAACCAGTGCTCCCTTTGGATGTGTGATGTGTCTGATAATGTGAATACTGAGCTGTATCATAAAATACATAGAATCACTCCCCTCCAACCCATTCATTCACCTTCCAACTCATACACCCTCTCCTTCACTCTCCCTATATATAACTCACTCACCCTCTAATTCTCTCTCCCTATAACTCACTCACCTCTAATTCACTCTACCTATAACTCACTCACCTCTAATTCACTCTACCTATAACTCACTCACCCTCTCATTCACTCTCCCTATAACTCACTCTACCTATAACTCACTCACCCTCTCATTCACTCTCCCTATAACTCACTTACCCTCTAATTCTCTCTCCCTATAAATCACCCTCTAATTCACTCTACCTTAACTCACTCACCCTCTCCTTCACTCTCCCTATAACTCACTCATCCTCTATTTCTATCTCCCTATAACTCCATCACCTTCTAATAAACTCTCCCTATAACTCACTCACCCTCTCATTCACTCTCCCTATAACTCACTTACCCTCTAATTCTCTCTCCCTATAAATCACCCTCTAATTCACTCTACCTATAACTCACTCACCCTCTCCTTCACTCTCCCTATAACTCACTCACCCTCTAATTCACTCTACCTGCAACTCACTCACCCTCTAATTAACTCTCCCTTTAACTCACTCACCCTCTTATTCACTCTCCCTATAGCTCACTCACCCTCTAATTCACTCTCCCTATAACTCACTCACCCTCTCATTCTCTCTCCCTATAACTCACTCACCCTCTAATTAACTGTCCCTATAAATCACCCTCTAATTCACTCTCCCTATAACTCACTCACCCTCTAATTTACTCTACCTGCAACTCACTCACCCTCTAATTCACTCTCCCTATAACTCACCCTCTAATTCACTCTCCCTATAACTCACTCACCCTCAACTCACTCACCTCTAATTCACTCCCTATAACTCCTCCTATAACTCACTCACCCCTCTAATTTACTCTACCTGCAACTCACTCTAATTAACTCTCCCCTAATTAATTAACTCTCCTATAACTCACCCTCTAATTCACTCTCCCTATAACTCACTCACCCTCTAATTTACTCTACCTGCAACTCACTCACCCTCTAATTCACTCTCCCTATAACTCACCCTCTAATTCACTCTGCCTATTAAACTCACTCACCATCTAATTCACTCTACCTATAACTCACTCATTCACACCCCCCCTAGCCCCGGCCTGGTTCCCTGGACATGTTGAGCTGGTGCTTCACTGACCCAGGCAATGACTGGACAATAGTGGCCTCTACCAGGCAAACAAACATGGCAACCACCCTATATCTACCAAAGAACAACCCATGAATGGAAATTGGTCTTAAGATCTTCATCAATACTCTTCAAAGTTAATGTCACATGAATAACAACTATTGTTACGTTCAGTGAAGGAAAATAAAATTAAAAGCTGTTTTGAGGCACTAAAGTCGTCGCACAGGCGAAATGTAAACAATGACACAAACCTCATTTGCAACAGTAATAGGCCTCAGACACAAGGCATACCCCAACAACATACGTACCTCTGCGCATGCCAGCCAGCCCTGCCGAACTGTGAAGTTCCACATAGTCCACATAGGTCATCACCTCCAGCTCATTGGTCTTCTTGTTCTTGATGCCATATGTCTGTCAGACAGAGTTAATCCATACAGTACCATGTGACGTTAAGTGGTGAAATACATGCTGTATTTCCTTACTAGACAGATGGATAGAGCTGAACGACAAACACAAGTAACTAAAATTTCAAGATTGTGCTTATCCACAAAGCATGTACCTGAGTGAGTGACTTAAACTGTAAAGGCACATTGTCACTATTTTAGCCACACAGGGAATAGAACAAACCATACTACTGACTGACTGAGTTTTAGTTTTACGCCACTTTTAGCAATATTCCAGCAACATCACGTCAGGGGACACCTGAAATGGGCTTCACACATTGTACCCATGTGGGGATTCAAACCTGGGTCTTCGGCGTGACGAGCCAACACTTTAACCACTAGGCTACCCCACCGCCCACAAACTAACTAAGAAATGATGTAAAGGATGTTTCACATTGTGTTTGAAATGGGCACAAGTAGAGTCAAACATGGCTGATAGCTCACTGACCTTTGAACAATGATTTGATGACACTTAAGCCTTATTGGTACAAACTATCTAAATGATTAAAAGAAAAATTGGTGCAAAGATTCTTTAGAAAAAACATAGAAACACAAAAGTGATATCTGGAACAAACATACTAATAGCCATATAGTTACAGCCCCTACCTTTCACACAAAGACTGAACCCTGTATCCAGTGATTCCTGATAAGATAACTATTTTGGCAAATATTGATTTAATAAAATTATTTGTTTGAAAACCACATTGATTTTAACAAGATAATATGTCTCATTAGAAAGAACCTACATGCTTTCATTAGCAGTATCAGAAGAGAGGCCAGTATGTCAACAGCTCAACCTATTCCTGAAGCATATAACCCACAACAACAAGGTAAGTGCCATATTCTTATTCGTGAATAAATGCATTCCATCTAACATAAGAGCGGATGGGTCTAATATAACCCTTATCTGTGATTGTATGCATTCTTCGATTACAGCATGTGGAGCTGTTAAACCAATGTAGACAAAAGATCCACTCAAAATGAAAATAGTTTTCCAGGTTTAGTATATTTTGTCCATGAAAGTAAAACTTCTCATGTCATCTAAATATGAAGCCTTGTCATAAAAACATTTGAGAAACACAGGCAATATCTTGAATGGAATGAGATGTCATGATGAGGCAGAGGTACATGGCTAACTGCTAGGAACTCTGAGTAAGAGTGTTCTACAATGTGATTGGCTAATTATACAACCAAGGCTTTAACAGTCTCACTGTGTACCTCAGTGTTTGCCATGACACAGAAAACCTATGTATTTGACGCACAAATTATCTCAAATACACAGTGATGTAGAAGCTTGCGTTATGGTTGACGCAATGTTACTGGGCCCTAGTTTAGATAATCTAAACTTTGGTTTCTGTGAGATGATGGCGATGACTTAGTTTAATGTTTGCCAGTTAACTGCTCATTGCTGATTAAACACCTGACCTACCTTACCTTGTTTTTTGTCGTTATTAAACAATCACAGTTGATGAAGGAAACCAAGTTCTATGGATAGTCAACTTCTATTGCAATGAGTGTGACATAAAGGTGCAGGTACTAACACCGTTATCACTTGCAATGGCAGTAATGGCAGCATGCTTGCACCCCTCACTGTTTACCTACAGTATGCTTGCACACTCACTGTTTACCTGCAGTATGCTTGCACCCCTCACTGTTTACCTGCAGCATGCTTGCACCCCTCACTGTTTACCTGCAGCATGCTTGCACCCCTCACTGTTTACCTGCAGTATGCTTGCACCCCTCATTGTTTACCTGCAGTATGCTTGCATCCCTTACTCCTGTTTACCTGCAGCATGCTTGCACCCCTCACTGTTTACCTGCAGCATGCTTGCACCCCTTACTGTTTACCTGCAGTATGCTTGCACCCCTCACTGTTTACCTGCAGTATGCTTGCACCCTCACTGTTTACCTGCAGTATGCTTGCACCCCTCACTGTGTACCCACAGTATGCTTGCACCCCTCACTGTTTACCTGCAGTATGCTTGCACCCCCTCACTGTGTACCTAAAGAGTGCTTGCACCCCCTCACTACATACCTGCAGTGTGCTTGCACCCGCCTGCACCCCATCACTACATACCTAAATAGTGCTTGCACCCGATCACTACATACCTAAATAGTGATTGCACCCCATCACTACATACCTGCAGTGTGCTTGCACCCCATCACTACATGTCGCAGTGTGCTTGCACCCCATCACTACATACCTAAATAGTGCTTGCACCCCATCACTACATACCTAAATAGTGCTTGCACCCCATCACTACATACCTAAATAGTGCTTGCACCCATCACTACTAACCTGCAGTGTGCTTGCACCCACTACATACCTGCAGTGTGCTTGCACCCCATCACTACATACCTAAATAGTGCTTGCACCCATCACTACATACCTGCAGTGTGCTTGCACCCCATCACTACATACCTAAATAGTGCTTGCACCCATCACTACTAACCTGTAGTGTGCTTGCACCCCATCACTACATACCTAAATAGTGCTTGCACCCCATCACTACATACCTAAATAGTGCTTGCACCCATCACTACTAACCTGCAGTGTGCTTGCACCCCATCACTACATACCTGCAGTGTGCTTGCACCCCATCACTACATACCTGCTGTGTGCTTGCACCCCATCACTACATACCTGCAGTATGCCTGCACCCCATCACTACATACCTGCAGTGTGAAGCCCCACTTGTTGTTTTCCTGATGTAGTTTGATAGTGCGTCTACGCCGGGTCTCATCTGGATCTGTATGGATGGCGCGGTCTCTCTCCAGGTGATCCAGATCATCCCCCACTGACCCCTGCCACATCAGCGGCTGTAAAGGAAGTCAGCATCGTCTTACATATATACAGAGGGAAACCAAAAAGTGAACACCACTTCATAGCAGTGTTTCTTTATTTAGTCTCAGATTTCTTCCCACAACGCTATTCAAAGATGGTGAGGAAAACTGGAAAATGTTAAAGGAACGCTTGAATTTTCCTGTGTTCCTTTATTTGTTTCTCATAAATATATATTCATAAATTGCTAACTAATCTCCTTCTAATGGCCTAACCTTAGTTCGCTAAGATGACAAATGAGCCCAGAAGCTAAGGTGTGTGATATACAATTTCTTTCATTTGCAAACTTCACCATTAAGGACTAATAACAGATACATATGGTAAGATGTTTTTCCTCACTCCATATCAGTAATGAAAAAAGGTCAAACAAAGTATTTCAATATCAGTAAAAGTCACCCTTTGACATTCCCGTCAAAAGTCTTCAGACACACGCTCACATGCCTTTGTTTACCCTGACAATCAGTTCCTTTGAGTTGTCACAAAACAATTCTGTTCATGTGTTACAAACAAGTCTCAACATTACTTTCAACTCCAGCCCAATTGCTAAATCTCTGAAGTAAGTAAAAATAGAGGGCTGAATGTATATTATTTCACACCACTCTTACATACAAACAGTGAGCTTATCAGTCCGACTATCCGACAGGCTTGTTGACCTACTTAGCTGACTGTTCCTCAACTTATATTACAAGACGTAAGTGGGGAAACCATGGAATATGCTTCTTAACAAGTGCCACTTGATGAAGTAAACCCTTTTGTAACCATGACAACCAACACTGGCTTCCATCCGATAAAATCATTCAAACACTTTTCATTTTTAGAGTTGCTTCCGTCTTTTTCATATTATATTTAAGACTGGAGACACAAATGTGTTCCATGATCACATCTGTTAATACCAGCGTTACTTCCACATTACATTTTTGTCTACCTAGTGATTTGGACTTCATATTTCTAACAAGCAAGCTTATATGTTGTTTATGAAAGTGGAAAAAGAAACATGTTGGTGTACAATAGGGCACTTGTGTTGAGTGAATGAGTGGTTTTACGCCGCTTTTAGCAATATTCCAGCAATATCATGGCAGGCGGACACCAGAAATGGGTTTTAGACATTGTACCCATGTGGGGAATCGAACCTGGGTCTTCAGCTTGATGAGTCAACGCTTTAACCACTAGGCTACCCCAAAGCCCACCCAATAATAATAGGGGTTGAATTGATATGCATCCTATACAATTTCAGTGTGCAACAGGACACTTATGGGTGAGTGAGTGAGTATGGTTTTATGCCGCTTTTAGCCATATTCCAGCAATATCATGGCAGGGGACACCAGAAATGGGCTTCACATATTGTACCCATGTGGGGAATCGAACCCAGGTTTTCAGCGTGACGAGCGAACGCCTTAACCACTAGGCTACCCCACCGCCCCCAAGGGCACTTATGCCATTGTCAGGTGTGTCCATTACAATTTTAGTATGACAAAGTAATTTTAATGAGTAATTCTAACAAGATTGATTTGGATAGATCTTCAGACTCTCTGAATTTAATTCCACCATGTGCTAAATAATAATCATTTAAATTCAAGAATGTTGACCCCATCATCACTTTCTTTATAAAGTCAGACTTGCCGACTTGGTTGATGCATGTATTGTATATCCATCGTATCCCATGATGCATGTCATCGTATCCTGATTGCGTAGATCGATACTCAATCACTGGATTGTCTGGTCAAGACACGATTATTTACATACCGCCATCATGTTACTGTAATATTGCTGAGTGTGGCGTAAAACATTAAACAAACAATAAATATGTTCAGCCATTACTGTGTTCCTGCAGCTCCCTTCAAACACTACAAACTTTAACTGTGCCACTAGGAGCTTACCCACTGGCACTCGAATACAAGCAGCACAGGAAACAGGTGAGACAGACTAGAAACAGGTCAAAAGGGCCTCAAAACGGAAAAGTCAAAAGGGTCGCATGAAAGTCAAAAGGGCTACAAACCCCTAGTCAAAAGGGCCACATCAAAAAGTCAAAAGGGTAACCTTTTGACTAGGACCCTGGGGTAACCTAGTGGTTAAAGTGTTGGCTCTTCATCCCGAAGACCAAGGTTCCATTTCCCACAAGGGTACAATGTGTGAAGCCCATTTCTGGTGTCCCCCACTGTGATATAGCTGGAATATTGCTAAAAGTAGTGTAAAACTAAACTCACTCACTCACCCTTATACAAGCAACTTTGAAGCCCCTGAATTGGTTTTTCACCTGCACACATAATTACATGTTCTTGAATAGAACAGCAATTGTATTATCGCAGATAATGACTGCATTGTTTATTTGCTGTATCAGGTAGAGTAGTCAACGTGTTGATTTTAGGGAGATAACAATTGAAAGGTCAACACTGAATAGTATTCATGACAGGAAATTCAGGGTTTGGTGTTTTGAATGAAACATTTTTTTAGGTAAAATAAGGTATTAGTTTCCACTTGATATCTAAGTCTGTTGTTCCTTGCTACAAGGAAAATACTTGAACCAGCCACTGTTAAGCAGCAGTCAGTAGTACCACAGCTCAACTTAAGGCCTTGTGTTCCATACTTCCTGATGACTATAATCTGTACATTCAGCAGGAAAGTTACATTAGAGAGAACACTGCAAATTAGCATGCATAACCCGTTTCAGGTCAAGTCAAGCTCCCTGTTTCTCATCAGCATTTCCATAAGTGACTGGACAAAGTTTAGGGGTTTGTGTTTTAAGTTGTTAATTTTGTACAATATGAAGAGACTAACCATTGTGACCACAGTAGGTTCTCTTTGGAATTTGATCATGAGCAGAAAAAACATGCAACAAGCCTTATCTCAAAACATATGGTGTGTATCAAACTTAAATAAGGTTATAGCTATAAAACTAAATTCTCATCTGTGGGAATTACTGGGCAGAAAACATTGAGTCTGTAAAGTTTAAAATATGTTCAGCCGGAATGTGTACCAATGGTCCTCAATGGTTCTCAATGGTTGATGAGGAATAGTTTTTAAATAAAGTTGTCTTCTGTGAGTTAATGACATGATTTACAGATGTTCATGCGATTAGCGAGAAAACAATTGATGTTCTTAAGCACCCGAAACCCATAACATGATGATATACACTTACTAAGTAAACACATTTGTGCCTACTCATCAAAGGCCTGAACCCATACTGCCAACAGACTAAAACACATTACAACCAGGGCCTCCTTGATGTTAACACAGTCATGGAAATGGTAAACTTGCTCTGCATTCTGCATTCTGAGATTCCACGTGTTAAAATCCCAGAAAACGTACACAAAAACTTTCAAGTATTAGTTCACATTTCAGCTAGTTTCTGTTTTCCTCCTAGCTCAATTGCCAAGATATTTAACATGTAAACAACTTGGACAACTGATTGTTCAATAATGGATATCAACTTCATGAATACAACCATTTATACTGACAATAGTAGTCCAGGGCCTCCTTTCACAAAGCACTAAGGTGATCGTAAGTCACTAAAGGTAACCTTAGTGCAATGTTAAAGAATGGGAGTTAAGGTTAACCTTAGTAAAGGTTGCTTCGTGAAAGGAGCCCCTGGACCTTGGAGTATCAAATGAATGTGTTTTGGAGTCTAGGTTCTGAAGCTCACCTTGTTCAAATGGTATTTGTATATAAAACTATGCATTTTCAAACAAACGTTTACAGTGTGTGTTGTTAACACACTAATAAGTCAGAATATTCAGGATGAAGGGAAGGAGATGGTTTTGAGTCAGTTTGAAAAGCATTTATACATCATAGGAGGTCAGGTTAATTTTGGACAAAAGCCCAAAAAGGAACAGGTTGTGAACATTGTGAGCTTCAGTGAAACCAAGAAGGATAGGCATGGTTCTGATAATCCAGATATCACAACCACGGTGAATCTGGGATTGAAACATGTTACTAGAAAGGGAACTCTACAACAGAGCAACTTTATACACACAAATATGAAATGTTAACTTTCAGTATGACAACTGAACTCCATGGTTCAGTGCATGAGAGTTCATGTGCTACTGGGATCAATGCCACATTCAAAGGTATGTTTCACTTTCATAGTGATTCATGCTTATTTGTTTGTTTGTTGTTTAACAACGCACTCAGCAATATTCCAGCTATATGGTGGCAGTCTGTAAACAATCTAGTCTTGACCAGACAATCCAGTGATCAGCATGAGCATTGATCTGTTGAATTGGGATATGATGGTGTGTCAACCAAGTCAGAGAATCTGACCACCCAATCCTGTTAATTACCTCTTACAACAAGTATAGGCTGCTGAAGACCAATTCTAATCCGGATCTTGCATACATGCATTTGTGTGACTACTTGTACTCTTCAGTTATGAGTGAGTGAGTGAATGAGTTGCGTTTTCGCAAAACTCAACAATATTCCAGCTATAAGGCTGACCACCCAATAAATGTCGGGTCTGGACCAGACAATCCAGGGAAGCATGAAGGTTTGAAGACCAATTGGGATACTGATGACATACATGCAATTTGTGTCAAGCCTGACCACTCTTTAGTTATGAAGGTTACATAGTGTTGCCTTGAAGATATCATAGATTGCCAACTAAGATACGTCATACTAACCCCAAAACTCCTTATTTTATCCCATTAATGCAAAGCACCACGCAGGGTAACAACACAAACTATATTCTAAAGTCAGAGGATTCAACCACTGAGCTTCTACAGTCTGGGCAGATATTTCTCATCTACTATACGCCTGAGTGAATGTTTTTAAACCTTATTTCATGTGTTTGGGTATGTATGATAGAAGTGGGATGTGACCAGGTACACCCTATGTCTGTATCGCTACAGTGGCTGGTGTTTGTGTGTTTGTATGATAGAAGTGGGATGTGACCAGGTACACCCTATGTCTGTATCACTACAGTGGCTGGTGTTTGTGTGTTTGTATGATAGAAGTGGGATGTGACCAGGTACACCCTATGTCTGTA